AACTAATAATACAGGATTAATACTTTTAGAAAAGAAGAAAAATTTTCTTACCTTTAATTCTTACTCATTAAAGATACCTGCTGAAATAGTCATCATTTCAAATATTCAATTGCTTTGGTAGACAACAGTGAAATTTGCTAAGCTCAAAGTTCTGAGCTAATGACCTGCCATTAGGTAATTATACTTTCACCCATGAATGTTGCAATAATTCTGTATACAAGAATGTAGTGTAATATTTAGAACAAACCCTATTTAAGATTTCAATGCAAAGAGGACTGAAGCACTGACTGGCGATTGATTTCAACATCATTATTGAACAAGATTGCAATTAAGTAATTTTTCTCTTCTATGGAAACCTGCTGAAATAGATCTTTCTGATATATTTCTAGAAGACAAACCATTCCCTCTAAAGTCAAGTAAATGGCCCTATTTACATTTTTCTACAGGTCATATGACCAATCCAAGGCCACACGCAAATGAATGTTCTGGTTCACTTACAGTAGTATGCTCCTTTGAGGTTTCATTCACACTATAAACATACCAAGGGGGTAGGGAGGTGAGCTGTAAGGGGAAAAATATTCAGATTCATTTGAGCTAGGCCAAATTCCTTTTCTTCCAATAAATTTAAAAGTTTAAAATTTCAATGCTGATTTTTAAAACATAATCTTCAATTTAATAATCTTTGTAAACATTAAAAAAGCTGAAAAGAGGCTGTACAATAAGCCAGTAGTAAAGTTAACCAGTTCTCATGACCTTCCATTTAGCCATTCGGGACTAAATTTAAGATAGTAATTATCACACTAAGAAATAGCAGTAAAACAATTATTGTACCATTTCTGATTATTTGTTCTGAGAAGCATTAATAGATTTCTGTGCAAAATGGGGAACTGAGCTAAACATTTACCAGGTTGCACATACATCAGGTACTGTGTTAAATGTTCCAGTCCAAAGTTAAAAAAGACAGTCTCTCCTCTCAAGCAGTCTGTAGTCAAAAAAACACACTGAAGCAAATATTTAAAGAATTGTGAAAAGTTTTAGAAAAGAGACATCTATATGATGCAATAGCTATACAAAGAACTGCACATAGGGTGGGGAACCTGCAGCCCTCTGATTTCAAGATTGTTCTTTTTTAAGCACCAAATGAGGCAAGAAAAGCTTCATCTTTCTCTGCTGCAGTCCTTTTAATAAAAGGATTTGTTCAGCAAAATTTAGATTCAGTCAAAAGGCCGCACTCAAGGATCCAGAAGGCCACATGTGGCCCCAAGGCCTCAGGTTCTCCAGCCCACTGTCATGCTAAAGTGTTCATGCTAAGAATATTAAGGCTAATAGAAAAGTATGGTCAAATTTGTGCATCAGAAAAAGAAAGGGCAGTACTGGTAGAAGACAAGCTCCAGTCAAGGAGTCCTGTTAAGAGACAGTTAATGATTAGGATCTAGAATTTGTTTTAAAAAAAAAGAGAGAGACAGAGACAGTTAATCACTGTCTCAACTAAAACAGTAGCAGTGTCAATGGAGAAAAGGAAGCCTTAGGGACATGATAACTTAAAACCAACAGAATAGAAGCATCTACTGGATAAAGGTAAATGAGGAGAACAAATATAACCCCCCAAATGTCTGCCTTGAATGGCAAGAGAATAATCAAAATAAGGAACTCAGAGGGGGTAAAAAAGTATATTTTGTGGGGAAAAATCAATTCCATTTTTGACATACTGAATTTGTGCTGCTTGCAGAATATTCATATGGAAATATTTACAACTCAGACCTTCTCACTCTTGTGTATGTCATCCTTATGCACAATTAAAACCATCACTTCTATTCAGGTAACTCCAAAATCAACATCCAGAGCATGACCCCTCCATTTTTATAACTATTTATTATTTTTCAATCAGTTGATAATTCAGTTCAGAAATATAGTATATTAGAGTTAGACGTGAGTCCTAAGAGATTGTATCATTCAACTGCCCCCACCTTCTGGATGAGAAAATATGAGGCCTAAAAATGCTAAAGTAATGAAGCCATTAAGCAATAGAACCAGAATTGTGGGTTTATGTCAAATTTCCACTGCAATGCCTCACAGCATATTCCTTTCCTGCCAATCAGGCTCCCTTATGATCATTCCAGGAAAAGTGAGAAAGCTTGACTGACCTACCTCTAAATGTTTGCTACCCTAAAACATGCTGAGTATCACTGCCAAATTAATCTTACCAAAAGAACAATTTATGCCATTCTTTGTTCAAATGTTCTATTGTCCATACATGATAGAAATACCGCCCCAAGATTGGGAGGCTAAATTATTGTCCCAATGCTATGGCTTTATCAGTTGCTGCCCACTCCTCTGCAGAAAGAAGGTCTTCACAATGAAGCTTAGTCCTATCCAGTTCCTTCGCCAATCATAAGCAAGGCAAGTACATTTGGATCCACAAGTACAAGCAGAGAAGCAATAGTGTAAAGTACTCAGTAGTTTAGTCTCTGGAGACAGATAGCTAGAATTTAAATCGAGGCTTTCCACTTAACAGCTATGTGACTTTGGGCAAATTATTTAACATATACTGTACCACAGTTTTCTCATCTATAAAATCAGGGCAATAATAGTTCATATTTCATAAATCTGTGAGAATTAAATGAGCAAGTAAATGCAAAACATTTTGAAAAGTGTCTGACACATCATATGCGCTCAGTAAATGTTAGCTATCATTACTGCCGGGGGTAGTCTGGAATCAATCTTCCTGCTCAGAATTTACTGTAGCATGTACAACACAGGCTTCTCTTACAACCTAAGTATCTCTACTGTTTTGAGATTCCTCTGCCTTGCTTCTACCACACCCTCAAATACAACACATTAGACATTAATTTTGATTTTTGGTTTACTCCCCTTAGGGGCAGCCCTATTTGCTCTATGAGATCATCTACCCATTTCGAAACACCTGGGTATGCTTTGGTCATCTAAAGTAAGCAAACATAGAGCAGAAAAATCATTCTAGATGGACAGAAGAAAAAACTAGGTAAAGACAGGGAGACAAGGAATCAAAAAGACCAAAATATTTGTGTGTAAAAATGTGAAGATAAAAATAAGACAATCAATGTAGGCAGAAGATTTTAATGCCAGACTAGGGCTCTATTTTGTTATCTTGTTTTGTTGGCAGTATTGAATTACATCCTGGATATTTAACTTATAATCTATAAGCAACTACCCTCAGGACCAAGAAACTGAAAAAATGGCAGTAACCTCAGAATCACTGGTAGAGGTTGGTACCATTTGTCCTCAATGGACTGAAGTTTCATTTATCTTTCCATCTCGCTGGGTATGACATTCTTCCCTGCTTAGCAG